ATGACAGCAAATTATCAGATAGACAAAGATTTGCTTACAGAACCGTTTGCATATTTGCAAAAGATATTTATAACTCGTGTAAATTTAAAAGAAAAAAAAAATAATAAAAAAAAACTTTGTTTAAATATAAATCTGCATCATAAATGTCAAACTAGAAAAGAAGTGATTATGTCCAAGCTACCTATTATATATTTTATCATAACCCATTCGTATATCCTAAAAACGGAAGATTCTCCGGTGTGTGTTGCATGCCAAGAGCCATTACTCATAAAAACACATACTGACATTAGCTTAAAATACAACCAAACACGAAACTTAAAAGAACGTCATCAAAACATTGATTTGTTTACATATTTCTGTTCGTAAAAGAAATTAGACTGATTTCAAAAATATAACAAAAAAAAATAATAACCTTAACAAACAGTAATCTTAGTATATAAAATAAAAATGTTGAATTTATTTTATTTTTAAAATATTACATTAAAAAAGTATTACATTTCAGCATTAAATGACCTAATGTTTGATGTGCCATAAAACAAACCAAACCAAATCATATATAAATTGTTTTAAAAATTTCGCCCCAAGCAAGCCAATAAAGCTACGAAAACGCAAGATGTAATATGGCATTCAAATTATAAAAATCATTAAGCTTTGTTTTTGTATTCTAGAAATTAAATGGCGCCGATTTTTTTAAGATTCTTTTTTATATAAACCTATAAATTCTCATCATCCAGCATCAAAACGAAACAAAAATCCCAAACTCGCAAATTTAGAGAGGTAAGACATTTACCTGTCTTCATTTAATGATACCGTGATATAATTAAAATGTTCTGAGATTTGAATTTATGATAATCGCAAATCTCAGAATATCTCAGACGTGACTGAAATCTTGTTAAAAATATTACGGGTAAGTCGATTATATTTTCTTCTTTACCATTCATTTTATAAAATGAAAATCAAAAAGTATGGCATTCTATTTAAAATATACTGCTTATTTTGGCACCAGCTGTATTTAGCCTTCCTGTTAAAATATATACCGTTTTTTCTCTTGTCTTTATCGCCAGTTTCAGATTGATTTGAGTGTCTGCAATCCTGCAAAAACATCAAATTTCCCTCTAGCGTAATAAAAGTCCTTTAGACTCAAGTGTGTATTATTTTTCTCCTGAACTGAAAGTACGTATAGAAAAACAAAGCTACGATAACTTATATTTCATTTAAGCCATTTCTTTATTTTGATATTTCGTTTTCTTTCTTTCTTTCTTTCCTTCTTGCTTTCTTTCGCCTCAGTTTATTTTCTTTTTTTCCAGAATCTCATCTTACGTTTTGGAATTTCTTTTTCTTTCTTTCTTTCTTTCTTTCTTTCTTTCTTTCTTTCTTGTCATTGTTTATCTCTTTCTTTCTTTCTTTCTTTCTTTCTTTCTTTCTTTCTTTCTTGTCGTCATTGTTTATCTATTTCTTTTTCTTTTTTCTTTCTTTCTTTCTTTCTTTCATTCTTTCTTTCTTTCTTTCTTTCTTTCTTTCTTTCTTGTCATTGTTTATCTATTTCTTTCTTTCTTTCTTTCTTTCGTTTTTTTTTTCTTTTCTGTCGTCATTGTTTATCGGTTTCTTTCTTTTCTTTTCTTTCTTTCTTTCTTTCTTTCTTTCTTTCTTTTCATCTTTTTTCTTTCTTTCGTTCGTTCTTTCTTTCGTTCTTTTTTTCCTTCCTCTCGTCTGTTTTTCTTTCTTCCGTTCGTTTTTTTTTCTTCCTGTCGTCTGTCTTACTTTCGTTCACTTTTTCCTTGCTGTCGTCATTGTTTATCTCTTTCTTTCTTTCTTTCTTTCTTTCTTTCTTTAAGTTATCGTTTCTGTATTTTCTTTTCTTTTCCTAAATTCGGTTATTCTTTCTCATTTTCCACCTTTTTGCACTTTCTTAAATTTCTTTCTTTCTTTCCTGGCGTTTTACATTTTTTCTTTAATTTTTTTTTGTATTTCTTCTTTTCCACGTTTTTTTTCTTCTTTAGATCATTCTAATTTTTATCAGCTTCATTCAAATAGTTCTAGATTTTTTTTTCAACTTCCTGTTTATTCAGTCCATCTTCGACGTTCTTCCAGTCCAATAATACCAACAATCATATGGTACCGACGTTTAAAATCCGCTTTCCCATAAGAAAGGACAATGCCGGAATTCATATCAAACATCAACCACTCTACATTTTCGTAGCATTGGACACCATTATTTGTAAAGTTCTATTTCTTTGTTTTTTCAACCATTCGCTTCAAGGGGAAAATCTTTTCAATTCTCTAATACGTATTTTCTTGTAAATCTGAACAATACGTGAGATGATCATGGAAAATATCTATACATTATCTAACCTATATTGACAAAGTAGACATGGTTGAATATCTTATTAAAGCGGCATTTTTTTTTTCGCAAATTGTGACATGATGTACAATATTTGTTCAAGAAATAAGCCCGATATTTCAGGCTTTCATTAAAAAAACAAATTAAAAAAATCATCATCATCATTATCATCATCATCCATGATCACTATCCGGATTACTTCCGAGTGCGCTGGTGTCTCCGGGAAGAGAGGATCCCCAGGCGGGGCTATGCCGAAGGGCAGGGTGTCGTCTCAGAAGACAGCTACCCGACCGTTTTTTTACGGGGAAATTTTCGTCGAGCCTCCAGGCTCATATACCCCACAATAAATTCGGCCTTGTGCCACATCTGTTCGTGTGGGTCGGTTAATGAATATCGTCATATCCGGATTATTTCCGAGTGTGCTGGTCAAACTCTCTGTCTCCTTGCAGAGTCTAAAGGTAATTTTTGGCTGAGCCTACACGATCGGATACCCGACAATAAACTCGGCCTTGTGTCACATTCAACCGCGTGGGGTGGTTAGTGAATATCTCATTATCCATGACCGTGTGGTGTAGTCGCAGGTTCATTGCGTGGCTGATCAGTTCCCTCGACTGGTTGGTTTGAAACCTGAGAGCTATTCATTTATGCATAGTGTAGCTGTTTGGAGTAGTTTTGTCAATAAATAAATAAATAAATAAATAAATAAATAAAGAATTAAGACCATTTATTTGGTGTAACATATGTCCAGGACGATGCCCAGTGCCGCAATATTTGACGAGAGTAGGCCTATAAAGTATTGCTCAGGAATGCATTATACACAAGCTATATGAAAAAATAAGGTTTTTCACAAAAATCTCAAGGGTCGCACTATACATGAATAGGCTTATACACGAATATAGACGGCATTTAAAGGGAGCCTCATGTTGGTGTAATGGTTAGTAAGCTTGTCTTGATAGAACGATTACGACTGAGTAGTGAGTCCGCTCTTTACTGGTTGAGCCATTATTTCGGCCTTCTGCTACATTTAACTTACATATTTTGTATATCCTTTCTGGATAAAACTTAATTACTTTCCAATCACCTTAATATTTAAATGAATTTAATTTACTTTAGTTTTTATATCATTTCCAATAAAGCGTAATAATTTTCGTAACATCCTGATATTTAAATAAACTGATATCTGTCCTGATACCCTTTCTACTAAAATGTAATTACATTTAATCCACTATAATATTAAATAAATTTAAATTACATTTGTTTTAATACCATTTCTCCTAAAGCAAAATTAATTTTTAACATCCTACTTCGATATATATACGAGTGTAGCGCGGAGTTTTATGATCAGTTTTTTTTTTTTTTTTTTCCTTTTTACGCAAAAATTAGTGGGGCGCATTATACAGAGATATTTTTTTAGGAAGAGGTTTAATATTGTGCAGGAGCGAAAACAAAATTACGGTATCAAAATCTTGTATAAAGAAATAATGAAGACTGTTTATTTGCTATGAAATATGTCCAGGATTATGTCTACTAGAGCAATATTTGACTACGTTTGGCCTACTAGTATTGCTTAAAAGTTGGGCTCGCATTATACACGATTTATATGAATCGGAGAGCCGAGTTCTAATCCCAGTAGAGTTTATTGCATTCACTTACGTGCTAATACCCTTTGGAATCCATCTCTATTCCCCCCAGCTATAGGCAAATAGTAGGAAAGACTGGGTTCTATAGCCTTGACGGCAACTAGTCTAGGCAAAGGAAAGCTCTGAATTCAAAACTGTCTGTCGACCTGGAGTAGTAGATAGCGGCTCGGATTGAGGATTCGGAGAGCCGAGTTCGAATTCTAGTCGAATCATATGCATTCCTTTACATGCTAAAACCCTTGGGAAAGGTATGAATCCGCTTCTTCTTCCCCCTCCCCCCAGCTATGGGTGAATAGCCTTGGATGGCAACTGGTCTGCTGCAGAAAATAAATGGCAAACTATTGCGTGAAAAAATCTGCCTCGACAGTAATATATCGAAAGATACATGATCTCCTAAGTGGGTATCCCACATGGCACATAATTGACTGAATACATAAGAGGACAGAACAAGATGAAATTAGTGGAAAAAATACGTCGAAGTATATTTTTAGTGAATACGCATATTTGAGTAGACAAATATTACGATGGTTCTATCTACCCAGGGCACAAGTTCAAATCCTATATATATATATATATATATATATATATATATATTAAAAAAAGAGGGTTCTTTCTAGAAAGAAAATTCGGATTGCCAACACACAAACAGAATGTCTCATATCGAGAATATATATTGAACATGAAGAAAATTAATTATTTTTAATAATATATAAAAATCTCCACTTTCACCTGAAGACGGTTGCGAGACCAGACCAGAAACACGTGTCGTGAAATTATGTAAACAAAGTATAATATTTTTTCTCAATAAATCCACATTACAACCAAAAACGTTTGCGGCACCCTCTTTTTTTAATATACATACTTTTCTCGTTGGAACCACTACAACATATTTCTTTTATATATATATATATATATATATATATATCTTATGCCGATTTATATGTAAGCAACGTTTATTATTTTTTATTTGAATACTATATTAAATCTCGCGTCTTAGTGTCTTTATTACCTTGCTTGGGGTGAAATGATTAAAAGTATTATGATTTATATTTGGTTTGGTTTCGTTTGTTTTATGGTATATCAACGCATTGGGTCATTTAATGCCGAAATTTAATATTTTTATAATAAAATCATGTATTTAAATATTTATTAGAATAAAGTCATATATTTAAATAGTCAAAAATTCTATTTTAAATACAAAGACTGCTCTTTGTTAACGTTATTATACTTCGATATATTTTTTTGAAATCAGTTTAATTTCTCTTCGGAACTGAAATATGTAACAAAAATCTCTATTTTGATAAAGTTATTGTAAGTTTCTTTTTGGTAGTATTTTAAGCTACTTAAATTAAAATTGCATCAGTTTGTCAGTATGTGTTTTATGGGGAATGGATCGTGACATGCAACAAACACCAGAGAATCTTTCGTTTTTTTTTAGGATGTACGAATGGGTTATAATCGCCAGTCTCAGAGGAAAGCAGTCACTAGCTTACAGGCGGACAGATTTTGCCTCACAGTTCAGCGACCTAACGAAACTTACCTCTTTCTTAATACTCTGTTTAACTTTTGGAAAGCTTTCACTTCGCCCACAATGTCTCTTCGGATTTCAGGGCCCCGCATTCCTTCATCGGTTAAAACACTTCCCACATATTTAAATTGTTGCACTTGCTTGAATTTGGTATATCCATTTATTAATTTGCATGTTGGTATTTTACTTCTGTTGACGATTATATATTCTGCTTTCTTTTAATTGAGACATATATCTGTAGGAGTCCTTGCAGTTTCCTTTCATTGGTATCGATTTTCAAATTTTAAATCAACCTGGACACTACCAAAATGGGTGACCGCTTGGGAATATCATTTGCTGTAAGCTTGGATGTGTGGGTAGTGTAATGTGCTTACACCCATATCTAGTGGAAACATCGATTTTCGGACAATCACTGAAGTTAAGTAATATTGAGCCTGGTCAGTATCTAGATGGGTGACCGCTTGGTAGTATCAGGTGCTGTAAGCTTGGATGTGCGGCTGGTGTAATGGAATTGTGAATCGATGAACCGAGTTCAAATTCTAGTTGGGTTCGTTATATTCATTTACGCGCAAATAACTTTAGGAAAGGTATGCATCTGCTTCTTCTCCAGTAGCTATGGATTAAATTGTAAGGTTTGTTTCATTAATCATTACTAACTAAATAAAGAATTCTTACAGTCTAAAAATTTTCTGTTTTTATTTAACTTTCAATGGTCTGAGAAGCTGTAGAAAACGACAGATTCCGCTTTTATACGTACCTCATAGATAATAAGATTTTCAACAGAATAATTACATATACATTCGGTACACTGACAACATTATCATTTTAGCTAAGGATAAAATAGACTTTTATCACTAAATCATTATTATCTCAAAAATATTCATACAATCTAAATATGATTTCTGGCCTTAAATGACATGCAAATGGTTTATAAACCGTAAAAAAAACTAATCAATCAAATTAAATCAATGAAATGTAACGATTTTCCCGAGTTACTACGTGCTTATATTTCAAATTATTTCCCAGATTTGCATCCGGGTTTATTTTAACACCAACTGCCTCATTAGCATATGCTCTCGACAGCCATTTTATATTTGGCGACGATTGTAACCAAAATAAATTGACGTTATGACTTTTGTGTCAGCATTTCTTTGGTAATGCGCATTTATAATTAATAAAGAGCTGAGCACAATTAAAAGACGCTATAATTTTTGTAAAACTACAAAAAATCTAGCGCTTTCAAAGTTGGGATAATGCCCTTACATTTGATTTTTTTTCCATTGTTCTGTCAATGAAATCTGATACCACGCGCCGAGTTAATGGTT